CCCAAGGGTGGGGAGCATCACTGTGTGTGCTTACAGCCTGGAGGGCAAACCCATCCTGGGCTGCAGCAAGAGAAGCGTGTCCAGCAGGGCCAGGAGGGGATTCTGCCCCTCTACTCTGCTCTGGTCAGACCCCACCTGGAGTGATGTGTGCAGTTGTGGTGCCCTCAGCACAAGAAGGATATGTACCTGTTGGAGAGGGTCCAGAGAAGGACCACCAAGATGATGGGAGGGCTGGAGCAGCTCTGCTCTGGAGACAGGCTGGGAGAGTTGGGGTGTTCAGCCTGGAGAAGAGAAGGCTCCAGGGAGACCTGAGAGCAGCTTCCAGTGCCTGGAGGGGCTCCAGGAAAGCTGGGGAGGGGCTTGGGACCAGAGAAGACAGTGATAGGACAAGGGGTGATGGCTTTAAACTGAGAGAGGGGAGATTTAGGTTAGATATTAGGAATAAATTCTTCACTCTAAGGGTGGTGAGGAACTGGGTTGGGTTGTCCAGGAAGATTGTTGATGCCCCATCCTTGGAGGTCTTTAAGGCCAGGTTGGATGAGGTTTTGTGCAACCTCGTCTAGTGGGAGAGTTCCTTGCTCATGGCAGAGGGGTTGAAACTAGATGATCTTTAAGGTCCCTTCTAACCTTGATGAATCTATGATGAGCCCTGTGGGATAAGCCATGTAGGATGATCCAGGTGGAATGGGGTGTTCGGCTCGGACCTCACCAGGGGGTCAGTTTGTGTCTATTTGGTGTCCTGAGCGGCTAGAGTGGAGATCCATCCTGTCCTGGTCTGCTCAGTGTCCTACCAGGTGCCTTTTGGTCCATGGCCAGACCAGGCCTGGCTCCTGGAGCCCTGGGAAGGCTCCTGGCTCAGGAGTCATGAAATAGTGGCCGGGATCAAAGCCTGGATGTGTCCCCCTGGAGATCCGTACGCCCAGTGAGCCCTGCGCCTCAATGGAGCTTGACTTGATGTGTGAGGGGCACTGGGCGTGTCCCCTGGCTTTTGCATCATTAATACATATCATTAGTCTGTGAGGAACCAATCAGTGTACTCATTATGACCTAAGTCCCACTTCAGCAATAGGTGATAAATTAGTTATTGAATGCTGTGTTCAGGAGAGAAGAACTTCCCCTGGAATGGTCTGATCTTCTCTTCCCCCCAGGAAGGGGCAACTCCTTCGGGGAGATTCCTGAGTTTGGGCTTTTGGGGAGGGCTGGAGGCGTCCCCAGCCACCTGGGACCTGGGGCTGTTCAGCTGGAGAGGAGGAGCCTGAGGGGGGG